AAAGGAAATATCTCTCAAAAGGATAGAGCAGCTTAGGCTATTTCTACCCTCGTCTATGGGGCTCTACCCCCTACTTTCTACCCCTCAAGAGACTCACAAACCCCATACAGTACACAGTTATTAATCATATATTACATCTCACATTCCAATGGTAATCACTTGGCATACTGTGAGATCTCTCATTGACTATGCTGCTCCTGTCACGTAGTGTTTTGGTATAGGAAGACTTAAGAAGGAGGAGAAGGTTATCTTGAGGTTATCTTGAGATGATTTCGGGGCTTTTTTTTTTTTAGTGTCCCCGCGGCCCGGTACTCGACCAGGCCTCCACCCCCAGGAAGCAGCCCGTGACAGCTGACTAACTCCCAGGTACCTATTTTACTGCTAGGTAACAGGGGCATAGAATGAAAGAAACACTGCCCAATGTTTCTCGCCGGCGCCTGGGATCGAACCCAGGACCACAGGATCACAAGTCCAACGTGCTGTCCGCTCGGCCGACCGGCTCCCAGAGAACAATCACAGGATTATTTCCATGGCGCAAGAAATACTATTAGTGAGAACATGATGATATGATTGAACTTTGAGAGATCAATGAAGCTTCAGCGATTCATGATACCTGGTTGATACCTGGTTGATGGGGTTCTGGGAGTTCGTCTACTCCCCAAGCCCGGCCCGAGGCCAGGCTCGACTTGTGAGAGTTTGGTCCACCAGGCTGTTGCTTGGAGCGGCCCGCAGGCCCACATACCCACCACAGCCTGGTTGGTCCGGCACTCCTTGGAGGCGAGGTCCCTCGCCATGAGAGCCGAGGGAGCTAATGAATTAATCCTCTCACTACAACAAGTTGGGAAGAAATGAATAATACACGTGAAAGCATAATATGAGCCTTATGTTCTAATGTTACAAGGCACGATGTCCTTCAAGAATGTATTTCATTGTCACAAACAATTAACGCCAACATGGGAGGAATACAACGTAGATGTAGTAATTTTTCACTATGTCCTCGGACTCTTTAACTGTGCTGCGATTTGCTAATTCATTGAGAAGCGATATCGCCTTTTTCTCTTGGGGTTATCTTAAGATGATTTCGGGGCTTAGCGTCCCCGCGGCCCGGTTTTCGACCAAGCCTCCTTTTTGTTACACATCCCTGGGAAGCAGCCCGTAGCAGACGTCTAACTCCCAGGTACCTACCTATTCACAGGTGCATCAGGGTGAAAGGAACTGCCCGTTTGTTTCCGCCGGAATCTCAGGACTACGAATCCGAAGCGCTGTCCACCCAGCTGTCAGGCGCCCTCTTCTTTACTTCCTTCTCCTCTTCCTTACTTTCTTCCCCCCTCCGTCTCAATCCCCCACAACACCCCCCGACTACACTCCCCCACTACATCCCCCCCAACTACACTCCCCCCAACGACACTCCCCCAACGACACTCCCCCAACTACACTCCCCCAACTACACTCCCCCAACTACACTCCCCCAACTACACTCCCCCAACTACACTCCCTGGTTGATACCTGGTTGATGGGGTTCTGGGAGTTCTTCTACTCCCCAAGCCCGGCCCGAGGCCAGGCTTGACTTGTGAGAGTTTGGTCCACCAGGCTGTTGCTTGGAGCGGCCCGCAGGCCCACATACCCACCACAGCCCGGTTGGTCCGGCACTCCTTGGAGGAATAAATCTAGTTTCCTCTTGAAAATGTCCACGGTTGTTCCGGCAATATTTCTTATGCTTGCTGGGAGGACGTTGAACAACCGCGGACCTCTGATGTTTATACAGTGTTCTCTGATTGTGCCTATGGCACCTCTGCTCTTCACTGGTTCTATTCTACATTTTCTTCCATGTCGTTCACTCCAGTACGTTGTTATTTTACTGTGTAGATTTGGTACTTGGCCCTCCAGTATCTTGCAGGTGTATATTATTTGATATCTCTCTCGTCTTCTTTCTAGTGAGTACATTTGGAGGGCTTTGAGACGATCCCAATAATTTAGGTGCTTTATCGCGTCTATGCGTGCCGTATATGTTCTCTGTATTCCCTCTATTTCAGCAATCTCTCCTGCTCTGAAGGGGGAAGTGAGTACTGAGCAGTACTCAAGACGGGACAACACTATACACTCCCCACTATATCCCAACTGTTTGTTATCGCTAATTTTTCGAGAGCTTCAATCCTCTTGTCTAACTTTATGAGGTATTCCAAGATGTGTGTACCGACGGCAGAGTCCTCAGCGCTGCCCGGCACCACCACTAGGGTACAATTTTCCCGCGTGGTGTCGTACAGCCACCAGGCACTAGGCTATCCTTAATGGTCTCCGTGCCTTTCTCCCAAACGTTGGGCACACACGCTATCGTTCTCTCTCCACAGTTTCTTCCTTGTTTCTGCTGTACGATCTTGTCTGCCTTTGTGTTCGTTTACGCTGCTTATTGGTGCTGGCTTGGACACTCACGTGGCGTCATGGGACGTAGAGAGGAACCAGCCATTGTGGATGCCTCGACAATTGCACCAAGATGGCAATAATTTTTATCTTTTGTCAATCCTGACTCTACATACTGTCGCGAGTCGTGCTTCTTACCGACATCTGGTTATCTTGAGATCTTGAGGTTATCTTGAGATGATTTCGGGGCTTCAGTGTCCTCGCGGCCCGGTCCTCGACCAGGCCACCACCCCCAAGAAGCAGCCCGTGACAGCTGACTAACACCCAGGTACCTATTTTACTGCTAGGTAACAGGGGCATCAGGGTGAGAGAAACTCTGCCCATTGTTTCTGGCCGGCGCCTGGGATCGAACCCGGGACCACAGGATCACAAGTCTAGCGTGCTGTCCGCTCGGCCGACCGGCTCCGATCTGGGTATCAAACTGGCATTTCCAAGCCTTATATCCCTCATTAATATATTTTGTCATTATTATATTAATATATAGATGAAGAAAGTCGGGGTCCAAGTATGTCGGATACTTAAAAACAACAACTTTAGTGTGAATTATTCCCATTTTATGGATAACCAAAAACAATATTTTAAACTCCGTCAGTCGTTAGATGTTCCACTGCTTCCTTATATAATGGTTCATATTTACCAAATTCCCCGACCAGTTGAACGGTCCACCCCAGCTTCTGATATTCCCTGACCAGTTGAACGGTCCACCCCAGCTTCTGATATTCCCTGGCCAGTTGAACGGTCCACCCCAACTTCTGATATTCCCTGACCAGTTGAACGGTCCACCCCAGCTTCTGATATTCCCTGGCCAGTTGAACGGTCCACGATGCAACCCGTCCTCTTAAAAATAACGTCACTTTTGGCTGGTATGCGCGATATGGCCGTAATTTGAAATGAAATCGACTCACAAAAGCTTTTGTTCCGTTTTCTGTTTGAGTCGTCCGGCGTACGCGCAGAGGTTATAAGAGGACACTTTAAATTAACGTTTTTCATAACGTTTTGAAACTTTATGATTAACTTACTGTTGTTGAAAAAAAATCCCAAATTTATTTTCATTTTTTTTTCATTTTCAAATTACGACCAAATTCGGCCATACGGGCAAACGGCCAAAAGCGACGTTCTTTTTAAGAGGACAGGATGGTCTGAAGCGGACCAGCTTCCTCCACCACAGCTGGGAAACAGCTGGATAGAACCGCAGATTCCACAAGACTGTGTGAACATCATAATGATCAAAGACGGACCGAAACGTCGTCGATTCTTGCGCGGGGGTTGAGCTCTGGCTCCTTGGTCCCGCCTCTGAACTATCAATCAACTGGTGCAGATGTGTGTGTGTGTGTGTGTGTTTGGTGTCAACACGAGCTTCCTACAGACAGTACTGATAACGTATTCGTTACTGGTTAAGATTAAAAGGCACTTATGCTTATCTCAGACACAAACTGTATCGAGGCAAAATCACTGATATCGAGGCATTAATTCTTTCATGAGTGCCAGTCTGTGAGCTGGACACGTGGGGCCCCTACACACCCATGGCACCACGATGACTTACTCACAGCCTGATTGTTCATGAGTCAGTGATTACAGCGCCTCCTCATCAACAAAGCCCAAATGCTCGTTAATCTAACACCTAAACTTTTTGAAACATAAATATATGTATGTATGTATATACAGGGTATGTGTGTGTAAGGTGGTCAGAATTGTATTTATCCTTTGTAAACGCACATTAATCACAATATGTATATAAACCCTACCTCGAGCATTGTTTATGTAGGTAGAACAGGTGTAAATCTATGTATTAATGTATGTAGGTTAGATTAGCATTGTCAACACATTACAATCATCTTCTGTGGTTGATTGTTCAATAAATCACTGAACTAAATATTTAACAAACCTGTAACCCTGTCAATGGATGGCGGGGGACACAGTACATATACTGGTATGAAGATATCTGTTATAGGAAGTTAACCTACGAACTTATATATGCACAATATACTGATATATAATTAACATATGAGAAAATCCCATTTTCAATTAAATATGTGTTTGGGGTCGGAAGCTGGATGGAATGAACCTAACCAGAAGACGGGTTGATTTTTTTTTAACATACAGTACGTCAAAAATGATGGGTTTGTTCATAGTTCTACCCGTAGTAGATGGGTAGTCCATAGTTCTACCCATAGTAGATGGGTAGTCCATAGTTCTACCCATAGTAGATGGGTAGTCCATAGTTCTACCCATAGTAGATGGGTAGTCCATGGGTAGTTGTTGGCTTCCTCCTCCTCATCCTGAACGTCCCTCACCGTCACTCACACTCATCTTGAAGTACATACACACGCACTCAGCTCCTCCACCACACACTCCAGACCCTGGGAGTTGGTGGAGGTAGCCGGCGTAGTCCGGGACACCTTGGGGCTACCTCAGGGAGGTAGCAGGTGTAGCCCACACTCACTCACCGACCACTACACAATCAACGATGAGGAAGGGTCGTTAGCCAGCGGGAATACACGAACCACAGGGGAGGATTGTAGGCTAGGGGAGTTGGGGAATGATTGTAAGACACCTGAACCGCTCCACACACACACACACACCTGGTCACAACGCCAACACGCACATGGGGGTGAAGGGCGAGTGAACACGCGCCAGCCGGGTCGCTCGCGAGTGAACGACGCCTAGGAGAGCGCGCGAGTGCACGTATCCATTGCCAGGTCTGGAGAGCCACTGAACGGGATGGTGGTGGTGCAGTGTGGTGGTGGGCGCCGGCTCCTCCCCCCACCACCACCACATTCATCTACTGCCCAACTTTCACTCTCATTCCACAACCATCGCCTCGCTCTACGCCACCACCCGACCCTGGCTACCACCACCACTACCACAACTACCACCACTAGTACTACTACCACTACTACACTCCAGTTCTCTCTTGAACACTGTGAGGGGTCGGCCAGTTATGTCCCTTATGTGTAGTGGAAGCGTGTTGAACAGTCTCGGGCCTCTGATGTTGATAGTTCTCTCTTGAACACTGTGAGGGGTCGGCCAGTTATGCCCCTTATGTGTAGTGGAAGCGTGTTGAACAGTCTCGGGCCTCTGATGTTGATAGTTCTCTCTTGAACACTGTGAGGGGTCGGCCAGTTATGTCCCTTATGTGTAGTGGAAGCGTGTTGAACAGTCTCGGGCCTCTGATGTTGATAGTTCTCTCTTGAACACTGTGAGGGGTCGGCCAGTTATGCCCCTTATGTGTAGTGGAAGCGTGTTGAAGTCTCGGGCCTCTGATGTTGATAGTTCTCTCTTGAACACTGTGAGGGGTCGCCCAGTTATGCCCCTTATGTGTAGTGGAAGCGTGTTGAACAGTCTCGGGCCTCTGATGTTGATAGTTCTCTCTTGAACACTGTGAGGGGTCGGCCAGTTATGCCCCTTATGTGTAGTGGAAGCGTGTTGAACAGTCTCGGGCCTCTGATGTTGATAGTTCTCTCTTGAACACTGTGAGGGGTCGGACAGTTATGCCCCTTATGTGTAGTGGAAGCGTGTTGAACAGTCTCGGGCCTCTGATGTTGATAGTTCTCTCTCAGAGTACCTGTTGCACCTCTGCTCTTCAACGGGGGTATTCTGCACATCCTGCCATGCCTCCTGGTCTCATGTGGTGTTATTTCTGTGTGCAGGTTTGGGACCAGCCCCTCAGTTATTTGCCACGTATAGATTATTATGTATCTCTCCCGCCTGCGCTCAAGGGAATACAGATTTAGGCTCTTTAGTCGGTCCCAATAGTTTAGATGTTTTACGGAGTGGATTCTAGCAGTAAAGGATCTCTGCACGCTCTCCAGGTCAGCAATTTCTCCAGCTTTGAAAGGGGCTGTCATTGTGCAGCAGTACTCCACTCTAGAGAGCACTAGCGTCTTGAAGAGTATCATCATCGGTATAGCATCTCTAGTGTGAAAGGTTCTTGTTATCCAACCTGTCATTTTTTTTGCAGTTGTGACGGCTACTTTATTGTGTTCTTTAAAGGTTCACATATACACAAATTGTGTATTTGTGTTCTTTACTTTAAACTACTACTACTAATACCACCACTACTATCACCACCACTACTACCACCTTATGCCCAAGCGGTTGGGCATAAGGTGGGGAAACTCGTCTTTAACTATTAAAATAAGGCCAACAAAGGAGGGTCCAAAACAGGGGTTCCAACCCCCCCCCCCTTGGGGTTGGAACTAAATAAAGGGGAGGAATAGGCACCGAATAATGAGGGGGGGGGGGGTATAAGAGCCAAGTAATAGTGGTATGAGACTATTCCTGAACAATTAAAAAAACAAGTTGCTGTTTAGATTAAAAGTGTCGACGCCAGCGACTGGTCCTGGACCCCAGGTGACTGGACCCCAGGTGACTGGACCCCAGGTGACTGGACCCCAGGTGATGTTTGTACACAGGCCAAACATGCCACCACGAGCTGGCTGGCTCGTGTGTGGTTGGCTCTCATTCTATATATATAATAAATTACTTCTGCTTTGATTTCAGCTGTTCAAGTTTAAGACTCAACCAGGAAAAATCCTCCTCCTCCTCCTCCTCCTCTCTCCCTCCCTCCCTCTCTCTCTCTTCTCTCACCCTTCTCTCTCTCTCTCTTCTCTCACCCTTCTCTCTCTCTCTCTTCTCTCACCCTTCTCTCTCTCTCTCTTCTCTCTCTCTCTCTCTTCTCTCTCTCTCTCTCTTCTCTCACCCTTCTCTCTCTTCTCTCACCCTTCTCTCTCTTCTCTCACCCTTCTCTCTCTTCTCTCACCCTTCTCTCTCTCACCCTTCCTAATTCTCCCTCCCCTCCTTGAGATGAATAAGATGTCGGGAGTTGACCTCGCCCTCCATTAGTTAAAAGGCATGTCAAACAACTTTTTAATAGAAAAAGTCTTCTAGGCTCTTGCTTTACCTCAGGTAAATGAGGTAGATAAGAGTTTTCGCCATGTCATTAGTTACGAGACAGGTAGGGATAACTCCTCTTAAGCCGCTTTAATTTAAAATTCTTATAAAATGCTGAGTGTGAGGTCTTCAAGATGCAGGTGAGTGAGCAGATAAATACAAGCCACCAACTTGTAGGTTCGAACTAATCCCCACCAGCTGATATTATCTGGGGTAGTTTCGGGTGTGTGTATATATATATATACCCCCGGGTATGGGGGATAGACTTCAGAGTACCTGGGGGAGATTGACAAGGGAAGGCTGTGTCATCAGAGCCAGGTGGGAGACGGGGGGGGGGGAGGTCTCCCACTGTGAGACGCGAGTAGTGTAAATTGAGACGTAGACCGTGCACTACACCTGTCACAGGTAAACGCAGGGTCCACGTCTATAAGGGGTGGGCGAGGTGTTCCGGGTGGGCGAGGTGTTCCGGGCGCGCCCGGTGGGTGTCTCGCGGCCCATTGTGTGTCCCTGGGGGTGAAAGGGGGGAGTAGAAAAAGTAGGGGTGTAAGGATAGAAGGAGTAAGTATAAGAACAGGTGTGCAGCAACAGGTGTGTAAGATGAAAGTGTATGTGACGGAAGCGTAGAGTTAGAGGCCCCCACACACATGAGAACACATGCCTAGGAGATCGGGTAAATAAGTTGTAAGGTTAGGGGAGGGTGTGTAAAGTGGCACTCGAGGGGAGATTAGTGATAAGGTAAGAGTGGTGGGGGGGGGGAGGTGACGGTCCTACCCAGGAGGCATCTGGTTCCCCCCCCCCCCCACGCTCTCTCTCTCTCTCTCTCTCTCTCTCTCTCTCTCTATGTTTAAAAAACAACAACAGGTATTAGGGAAAGGAGTAGTCTGTCCTGTGTCACCTCCGTAGTGGTGGTACAACAGACGGAGTTGGGTTTCACACACACCCACACACACACACACACACACACACACACACACACACACACACACACACACACACACACACACACACACACACACACACACACACACACACACACACACACAGAGGGGCTACAGAACTTAGTATGTCTCGGCATAATATCACATTACGGCTGTACAAGTCAATCACTCAGCAGTGCGGATGCAGCCCATCACCTGTGATCATTTTAAAGTCATCAGCGAAGTCTGGGAGATGTTCACCCCGCCAGGGTCGTGACCTTACTGGTGTTTACATTAAAGGGGTATTAAAGGGTTAATGGAGGTGCCCATTACTACCAGCGGTACTCTTGGACGCTTCCCCCCCCCCACAACTCCCCACACCTGTTAGTCATCAATCACTTGTCAATTCCACTTACCCATTTTCTCAGTCTGCCACAAATGCGCATTTCCTCTTACCTGATGCAAACATTCAAATAAAGTTTAGTTTTAGTTATGTTCTCGTATTGTTCTTAGCCTGATCTGTGTTCATTGCATCCTCTTACATGTTCTTTAAGACCAAATGTACAACTGTTTGTCATTCAGTAAGAAGTGCTTTGTCAAATATTTTCACCCCACAGTAGTGTCAACAACGTTAGTGCATTTATCAACTTATTATTTCTTACCAGCGCAGTTCTTAAACAAATCTGCCCTTTATTCATTACCAACTTTACCAAGGCAATCTTTTCCTGACGTTTCTCAACTAATATTATTCGTCAATCAACTGAAAACAACCTCACACACAACCCGCCAAACACACACCGAAACTACGACGTTGGTACAACGTTCGAACAAGTTTTAACACCTCCTAACCAGTTATAACAACCAATATAGCAAGTTGTAACAACGTTCTAATACGTCATAAACACGTTAAGCCAAGATGTAACAACTCTATTACATGTTGTAACAAGCGGAAAATAGAGACAGTTTCGGTTTGTGTTTCCAGGGAATAGCTCAGGCGGGGATGACTGTTTTTGGTCAGTCTAGGTTGACGGGTAGGCTGTTCCATGTTAATGTTGATAGGTTTTTGCTGTACAGGAGCAGCTGCGTGTACCCCGTGCTTGGCCTACAGCAGAGGTCCACGGTTGTTCAACGTCCCACCAGCGAGCATCAGAAATATTACAGGAACAACCGTGGACATCTTCAAGAGGAAACTAGATTGTTTCCTTCAAGGAGTGCCGGAGCAACCGGGCTGTGGTGGGTATGTGGGCCGCTCCAAGCAACAGCCTGGTGGACCAAACTCTCACAAGTCAAGCCTGGCCTCGGGCCGGGCTTGGGGAGTAGAAGAACTCCCAGAACCCCATCAACCAGGTATCAACCAGGTATCAACCAGGTATCAACCAGGTATCAACCAGGTACCAACCAGGTACCACCACAACCACATTTCAAACGCTTGGAGTATGACCATAACAATATTTCTGGTTCATTTGTAGACCAGAGCCCGGGACTCATTAAGCCTGAAGTCTTAAAACCATACAATAGCCTAAGATCTCCTCTCTCACCCAGATCAAACGCGGATCCCACCCCCATTACACCCTTGTCGTCCTGAAGACTGGAGGGTAGCGAGACATTTGAGCTAACACAAGTGCTCATAACCCCTTTACCATCACCACTACATCTGGCACTCGCCCTCTTCCTCCAGGAGTCCCTCCATCACCTGTCAATCCCTCAAGTCAATTCCCTCGTTAACAATATCAACATCACACTAAACTAACAGGGAAACAAAGAGATGAGCAATATTATTATTAAACACATCCCCATCTTCGAATGGAGACTTTCCATGTCTTTTCATTTGTAATTATTTAGTAACAAAATAAAACCCCACACATTATCCCGGAGGAGACGGAACGATCTTACTGTCTACCTCTACCACCCAGGCCTCG